TGTGTACCCCAACATGGTTGAGTTTAGATTGGCAGTGAGGCAGTTTGCCATTAATAAAGAGTTTGCACTACACACTGTGAAAACAGACACAAAGAGGTTTATTGGGAAGTGCATGGCACCAGATTGCCCTTGGCATATTAATGGTTGAAAACAACGTCATTCAAAAAATGTTATGGTATAAAGAATTTTTTTTGTTATATGAATATGACTTCTTTTTTTGAGTCATTGCAATGTTCTAATTTCTGTAACAATGCAGGTTACAGCTCTGATTGATCAACATAATTGTTCATCCCATGCGAGGAGACTTACTACTACACCCACTGCTGCCTGGGTTGCTTCAAGGGGTATCAAGCACCTCAGGAAGGACCCAAATATGGGCACAAAAGAATTGAAGAAGCAGCTGCAAGACGACCACAAATGTGAGATTCACTATGACACCGTTTGGAAGGGGAGGCAGATTGCAATGAAAGAGTTGTTTGGTAGCTAGGAGGAAAGCTTCCAAATGCTGTACAATTAGAGAGCAGGGGTTCTGAAGCACTCACCAAACAGTGTCATTGAGATTGACAACAAGATGGTTGATGGCAAGGTACACTTTCACATGTTCTTTTGTGCTTTAAGTCCTTGTATTGAGGGTTTTCTAGAGGGATGTAGGCCTTACCTTAGTATAGACTCCACTGCATTGAATGGTAGATGGTGTGGACACTTAGCAGCAGCCACTACTCTAGATGGACACAATTGGATGTATCCTGTTGCATTTGGCTTCATAGATGGTGAGACAACATAAAATTGGGAATGGTTTATGACTCACTTGCATAAGGCCATAGGAGACCTACCTGTTCTTGCTATTTGCACTGATGCATGCAAAGGTCTAGAGAAAGATGTTAAAATGTGTTTCCTCATGCTGAACATAGAGAGTGTTTTAGGCATCTTATGCATAATTTCATTAAAAAGTTTGGGGTGATGATTTTTCGAAGATGTATCCTGCAGCTCGAGCATATAGAGTTGAAGTATTTCAATATTTCTTCAAATTTGTTAGAGAGGCTAGTGATCAAGTGATGGAATGGCTTGACAATCATCATAAATTATTGTGGATGAGAAGTGCATTTAACCCTGAAATCAAGTGTGATTATATAACCAACAACCTTGCTGAATGTTTTAATAATTGGATCAAGGACTGGAAGGACCTTCCTATAGTTGAGCTTGCTGATAAAATTAGGGAGATGCTAATGGTATTGTGGAGGAAGAGAAGGCGGATTGGACAAAAGCTTAATGGGAGAATTTTACCTACAGTCATACGTCAGCTGAAAATGAGAACCAGATGCTTGGGTCACTTAACAGTTATCACCTCTGATAGTGTGGCTGCAGAGATATGGGAAATTAATAGCATCCATAACAGGCATGTAGTGAAGACTTATCTCCATGAGTGCACATGCCTTGAGTGGCAACACACTGGTAAGCCCTGTCAGTATGCTTTGGCTTTGATTACAGCCCAACAAACTGTGGATGTGGATCTTGAGGGATTTGTCCATGAATACTATTCAGTGGAAAAATTCAGGAATGCCTATAAGAGATTAATAGAGCCACTCCTAGATAAAACTCAGTGGCCACATGTGCCGCTTCCATTTACAGTTGGGGCACCATTAGACAAAAAGGATGCTGGAAGGTATAGGAAGCTGAGGATAAAAGGATGCCTTGAGGGAGGAAGTGGTGAAAAAGGGAAAAAGGCTGCCAAGGAGGCTGCCAAGGAGGCTGATAAAGCTACTGAAGAGGAGGCTATGCAAGCTGCTAAACCTAAAAGTCAATTGGTAAAAGGGAAAAGAATGTGCAAGGGGTGTGGAGAATTGGGTCATGGAGAAACAAGCTACAAGTGCCGGCTAAATGGGACAAAGAAAAGGTACTGATTTCTTTAGTTTTGTAACTTACATCTACTAAATGGGACAAACAAGCTACAAGTGCCTAAATTGTTCTAACTTGCAGGAAAAGGAAGCCTAGGACAAATACAACAAAGTATGGGAAGAATGGTAAAAAAGTCATTGAAAAAAATCTCAGATCAAGATAATGGTGTCAGACAGTGAGAATGTCTTTATGCACAGCCGACATCGTCTCATGACATATCGAGAATTGGGTTGTGTATACCGATACTACTCTTTCTTGTCTTTGCCAGAAAATGTTTGTCAGACAGTCTCAAGATGTTGTCATCCAAGCTGAACAAGTTGCCACAGCTAAGGCCAATCTTTTGTCAACAAGTCCAGAAATGTTGACCAAAAGGTATTTCATGTTTCCAGAAAGCTGAACTTACTCTTTCATGAATTATTTCATCTTTTGTCAACAATCCATTCATGTTGCAGCCGACTAGCTGTACTATTTGGAGAAGGGCCAAGTACATTGCTAAATAAGCAGCCTACAACTTCAGCAAAACCAAAGAAGGTACTACATTTATCGCCAAACAAGCAGGCTACAACTTCACCAAAACCAAAGAAGGGAATAGCGAAGAAGTTGATTCCAAGAAAGTTGAAGACGAATTGAGATGTGAACATATAATGAGCTGGCTTTTGAAAAACCCTACTGTAATGAGCTGCCTATGTAATGAGCTGCCTATATAATGAGCTGTCTTTTGAAAAACTCTACTTCAATGAGTTGGTATTTAAAAAACTCTACTGTAATGAGCTGCCTATGTAATGAGCTGGTATTGTGTGAACCTTTATGAACCTTTATGTAATGTTATTGGTCCTTTATGAAATCTACTTTGATTTTGGTTAGTTGAGCTATCAAGTAATGTCTCTGTTGTACTTGCATTCTGATAAAGTGTTAATGCATGATTAGTTGACAGAATGTGTATGAGTTGTATAGTAACTGTGTATGAGTAGTTGACAGAATGCATGTCTCTGTTGTATGAGTGTATGAGTAGTTGACAGAATGCTGGTACTTTTTCCATAAGCAGTCCAAACTCTACATATCTCGGGGAGAAAGTTATTGCTTGTGTTAGCATCAAGGGTGGCTGGAAGTGGGTTGATGCAAGAACTAAGCACCAAGGCAAAAGCAAGGAAGTGTCTCCTCAGACCCTTCATGAGCACTGCATGACGAAAAAACTGAGCAGGTGGTCTTCTGATGAAAACATATTAGCATTTGGAAACTAAATGCGCATCCGTTTGAGTGCAAATATTTCTTACCAATGGAGCTACCATCACCGTTCTCAAAATTTTCTTTTTGTGTAACAGATTTAAGATGCCAAGGTCTTACAGTGGAGGTAGCCATTTCCAGTGACTACGACAGGGAAAATCAAAAGAGAGGAGCTGAAGAGGGAAATTTTAGCAGCAATTCAACTACCCAGCAACTTGTAGCTTTTTTAGGTAAAGATCCATGATAATTCATATTGCAAAGAAAAAATTATCGATATGACATTTTATTACCATAGCCAGGGCTTGTTTTGACAACAGATATGACTAACTGCAAAAGCTAACTAATCAGTACTGATACAACATAGTTCTACAACACAATCTTGCTTCACTTGCTAATAAACACTACCACACCTAAAAGAACTAAGACAGTCACGACTAAACAGAGCACCACCAACAGCTGGACCAGATCGATAAGCTTGTCCATCTTGAGATAGATCCTGTCTTCATAAAAAATCCTGCTTTTAAGCTTCATTTCTTTTTGACATTTAGTTTCACCATGACCTTCTAATGGCACTGCAGCTACCAAATCTTCTTTAAGCTTCTTTGCGACTACTTTCTTGTACTCTTCCAACCACTTAAAGAATGGACATTTCTTCACTGGCTGTGGAAATGACAATAAATAACACAGTTTATTTATCCAAACCTTGACATAGTACATAGTTCATCCACTTCTATATGACAATAAACAACAGAGCAATATATACTCACAAATTCATTATAGTTTACACATTTGAAGAAAATTCTGTTGTTGTTCTTCCAGGATTTGCATTCCACTAATTTGTCACCACATTCTAGACATGGAATCAGGGGATCCCACTAGGGCCAAGTGGATACAGAGAAACGACACCTGTTGAGATGAACAACGAACTAGACGAACCCTCACCCATAGCCTTTGGTGAGACGCAGGAGGGCGCTGGGTTCGGTGACGCATGGTCGAGGCGACAGCTGACTGGCGGACGGGCGGTATTTGTTGGGCCGCCGCCGCTGGGAAGAGCACCCGGACGGCCAGGAGTAGCGGTCGCAGATCCAGCGACGGGGAGAGCGGGGACCTGCTCTAGGCGGTGCAATGAGGTTAGCCTTCCGCCAGGCGGGGGAGTGTCTTGGGGGAATGAATGGCATGGCGAGAGACTTGGCCGGGGGCACCTGAGGGGTGGGGGCGGTGCTCTGCCTTTCACTCCAACGAGAGATCAGCGAGAGGGGGAGAGATGATAGCGCAGGGAATAGGTCAGCGACCTCAGGGGAAAAATGGTCACTGAAGGCTAAAATTTTGGCTCAAATTTTTTTAAAGTCGACTTAAACCTAGAAATGACATTATAGCGTGTTGGCCTCGGTTCATAAAGGCATTTCAGCGAAGCCCACAAAATTAGGCCCCGTTTGGCAGGGCTTCTCACCGGCTTTAGGAGCCGTTTGGAGCCATTTTCTGCCAAACGGGGTAAAGTGAAATAGCTTCACTGGTGAAGCCCCTAAAAACATGCTCTCACAATGATTTGGGGTAGGATGGAGAAAAAAGTGGCTTCTCCGGCTCCTCCTTCATACCCCTAAAAACATGGTCTCACAGGAAAGCTCCATTTTGCCAAACGATTTATCAAAACCACTTTATCTTCACCGATGAAACTGTTCGTGGACTAAAAAAAAAAAAAATAACTTCACTAATAAAAAAAGCTCTACTAAACAAAATCTTAATGGTATTTGGGCAAAGCCCACTCCCCGTAAGGGCAAAATCCGATTTTCTCCCCCTACGGGGGCTGATTCCATTCGATTCATTCATTCCACTCCAGACTCCACCCCCTTCCCCGCACGAAACCCCCAACCCACTCTTCCATGTCAGCCGCCGTCCGCTCCCGTGCCGCGGTTGCCGCGCTCTCCGCCGCGCGCCGCATCCACGCAGGCCTCGTCGCGGAGCAGAAGCAGCAGGGCGGCAACAACCCTGGCGCCCTTCGCCGACCTTGGACCCTCTTCCGGCGCCAGCAGCAGCAGCAGCAGCAGGAGCAGAGCCACGTTCCCCGCGCCGCCGCTCCTGTCCTGGACGCCGTCGCCGACCACAGGGCCGGCGGCTCGGACGGTGGGGAGCCCCCAGAGATCTGGCGCCAGCCCGGAGAAGCCCCTGTCGCGCCCGCCGGTGCGGGTGCCGTCGGGAGGATTGACGTGGTTAGGGTTGCGGCCCCCGGTGGGGAAGGCTTTGATGGGAAGGACGGGGCCGGGGAAAGCGGGGGTTGGGGCGGTTCTAACCTGGGACGACGGTTTCCCACGCCCAAGGAGATTTGCCGTGGGCTCGACAAGTTTGTCATCGGCCAGCAGCGAGCCAAGAAGGTAAATACTAAACCTCTCGGAGATTTTGTATCTGTTTTTATCTGATTGGAGTTATCTGTTTGGTATCTACTCAGGTCCAATACGTGTGTTTGACCCATTAATATCTCTGGAATTTGTTTAGAATATAGTCATTTGAAAGTATCTGTGATGGCTAATCTACTAACACCCATCTGCATGTATCAAATGTTAATACTTCTGTGCATATTGATTGTCAAAGTTTCTAAAGTTTCACCATGTATCCCTAAGCGTTTTATGCGATGTGGATCACCACACAGGCAGCAAGTTGTATTACTTCATATTTGTTCTCCTACCATTTTAGTGACCCTAGGCTATTTTTCAGATTGTTTAATAACCCTGTTTTTCTCTCTTAATGCAGGTGTTGTCAGTAGCAGTTTATAATCACTATAAAAGGATCTATTGTGAGTCACTCACCAGCAGGTAGGTTTTTGTGTAAACATCAGTTTTCTGAGAGCTGTGTAGCATCAGGTGGTAAATTGAACAGATCATGTGGGCTGCAGGTCTGCTTCAGATTGTAGCGAGAGCGATTCTTGCACGACTGACACTGACATGGTAGAGCTTGAGAAAAGCAATATTCTTGTCATGGGGCCAACGGGCTCGGGTACATGCTCTGACCTTTGACTACGTTAATGTTGTATTTTGCAATCATCTAACACTGTCCATAAATAGAAATTGCGTCAAAATTAATCATATACTTAAAAACTTCGTTTTGCACAGTCATTTCTCTCTTTTTTCTCTGTTCATGCAGCTATGCTAACTCTGTTTTATTAGAAAGTGTTTTAGCTTTGTAGAGACATGCATGTCTAAAACAAGCAACTATTGTGGTGGTTATTAACACTGCATATTAGCCATGCAATCATGCACCTAACGTAAAGTGATATGCTATATGTGGTAGAACTTCAAGCAATCCAAATAGTACACATTTGAGATATTCTGAACAACAGGTGAAGGTATTATATGATGTCTGATTTATTTGAATTTGAAATTGAATTTTCATCTTCTTTTCTCTCTTAAAATAATTGGTACATTCTGGTTGGATGAAACAAAATATGCGATAGTATTGCTGTTGAGTATCCACCTTTCATTTAACTTGTTTTATGCAATCATAATCTTGTGGTCCTTATGTTATGAATGTCTTACTTATTATTCTAAAATCTTTCCCAAAGTCAGGGAAAACATTGCTGGCAAAAACACTAGCAAGATTTGTGAACGTGCCCTTTGTTATAGCTGATGCGACAACCCTCACTCAGGTATACTGAATTATGTCTGTTTATTAATTCATTAACTTTGTTCCTGCTGTTAGTCCAGTACGTAGTTTGTGTATGGATTTTGTTCGTGCTACAAATTTAAGAGCACATGATTATAATTTTAGTATCTTTAAGTATCATGTTTGTTATTATCCTTATACTTAATTATGATTTTGTTAATTCAGAACTTCGTTCTTACTGTTATTCCAGTGTACCAGTCCGATATTTAGTTCCTGCTACAAATTAAAGAGCAGATGATTATAATCTTACCATCTTTAAGTTTCATGTTTCTAATCCCTTCTTTGCTGACATTGAGACTAATATCCTGATATTTAAAACCATTGTGTATGCTCTTGTGAAGGTTTCATCTGTTCGATTCATATTTTATGATTTGTGATCCAGTTCTTTATTCCACTGGAGAGTTGTAGTTGATTGTTTGCTATTTTTTTATACGATTTTTTTTTCTTGGACAGCTGCTCTTTTCATGGAGTGGATATTATGGCACTAGCATATACTTCTTTTACTAACTTTTCTTGCATAAGATCTTTGATTATGATCTGTATAACTAATACTTCTGTTTGAGAGTGTTGGGCTTGCACCAGCTTCATAGACTTCGTGTGTTCAACTGTTGGTGCTCAGAAGTTCACCTTAGTTTGACTGTATTTTTTCCCCATTTTTGTAGGCTGGATATGTTGGTGAGGATGTTGAATCTATTTTGTATAAGCTCCTAGCGGTACCTCTCAACTCTCTATTTATATATGGACCTTGCATTTTAGTCCTTTCTGCATTGTGATTCTAACTTGAACTAGAGAACCTTCTCCCCTCCCCCACCCCCTATTTTTGCTCTTGAGACCTTTTTGCATGATAATAATTGAGCTCTAGAGGATTTAAGCAAGTACCAAAAGTTCAAAACTAGAGGATGTGTTCTTAAAGGGAAAAATAGTGAAAGCACTTATTTTAGGTTACACCTGTCATTGCAAAGCCGAGGTCATGTGCTGTTATGTGCATTGGACCAGCCCTGTTGGGGAATGGGCACTGAGATGGTCAATTCCCTTCCTCACGTGAAGATAGGATTAGAGTTGAGTTTTATAGGATGACGATTAGACCTGCTCAGGCTGTAGCAGAGATGTTGTATGGCACTGTTGAAAATGCTTGAAGGAATGTTGCCTGAAGCTTTCCATTAGTAAAAGAGCTCCGACTATGTTCAATTGGAGAGATAAGTGTCACGGAAATGCATATGATTTGCTGATTTGTTGGATTTACGATCATACAAGAAGGGATCGAGTTAAGCTATACAGAACGATGATATATGTGATAGATTAGGGTAGCACCAATTGAAGAAAAGCTTGTCCAACACCGGTTGAGATGGTTTGGACATGTCCACAAGTGAGAGGGCATCTCTTGGTGAGCACCTCCAGAGGCACCAACACGATGACGCAATACATTTTTACGCTTTGTCTGCGAGCAACACAACACGGTTGATGGTTTGGGACATGTCCAACGGAGACCTCTCCAGAGGCACCGGTGTAGTGGAATCCTAAGCTAGGATAGTAACGTGAGAGAGGCAGAGTAAGACCGAAGTTTACTTGGGTAGAGGCAATGAAAAAGGAGACTTGAAAGGATGGAATATACCCAAAGACTTAGCCTTAGATAGGAGTGCTTGGAAGACAATTATTCACGCCCTTATTTGTTTGCCTTAGTGTTCGAACCTTGCTTTTGCTGCTAGTTGATGCGCTGGGTTTCAACTCTAGACCGATAAAGCTAAAACTAAGTATAACTTGTTTGGAAGACTTAGGAAGGATATCTTTCGATATTTAGGATCAACTTTGAGAGGCGGGGATATTGCCATAGAATTGTTGTTGGGACTGAAGGTAGAATGAAGCTAAAAGGTAAGTTTTATAGGATGGCGATTAGACACGCTTATATGTTGTATGGTGTAGAATGTTGGCCTCTTGGCCTTGAAAAGGATAGAAAGGCTTAAATTGTTGTTGTTGTTGTTAGTTTGAGATGGTTTGGACATGTCCAACGGAGACCTCCGGAGGCACCGGTGCGTGGTGGAATCCTAAGCTAGGATAGTAACGTGAAGAGAGGCAAGATAAGACCGAAGTTTACTTGGGTAGAGGCAATAAAAGGAGACTTGAAAGGATGGAATATTAAGTTTGTAAGTGTCTTTTTGGTCCAATTTGTGAGATAGTGTCTTCTATGCTTCGTAATGCAATATATGTAAGATGCATGACAACATAATTTCTTATTTATCTTCTTACAAGTTATGTTTATGGTGTCAAGATAGGTTGTTAGTGTTCCTGAGAAAGGGGCCAGAAGGCATCCAAGAGGTGACAATATCCAGGTATCCTTCCATGCAAGCTGCTCTTTGGTAGTTATCAGAAATCAAGAGTAATACTAGTACACTGTTTATGTTCCCTGTACATACTAGGAGGATAAATGTTCTCTTGCTGAGTAGTGAAAACAATAGTTTTGTTGTTATTCTCATGCAAAAATATTTTGGATTGTCTGGTGGTGGTCTTGTTATCCTCTGTGATGTGTACCACGGGATCGAAAGCAGGGCATGCCCAATTTTTTATGATTACTTTTCCTTTTAAAGTTAGAAATGTTAATACGTTATTTAGTGTATTCACAGAATTTGAAAAACGCAAGCCAGAGGAAACAATTAAACACATGAGGACAATAGAGCATGAGAAATTGACAGTTAGTGATACTGCTGTTATGTCTTTTGGTATTGATAATAGCATGTGTCCAAGGTATTGTTTAGTATCTTTCATGTTCTTTTTCATCTATAACATTTGATGTTTTAAATAGCGGGGTAAACCATTTAGCGGTCGCTACCTCTAGATGCTAAGAGGCACATAATGAGCTAATAGTGGCATTAACAATTTAGTGGAATTAAAAAAAAACATTCACTAATCAACTCGTCACAACTCACAGCATGCATGCACGTGGGCCTATTTGTACCTGGTCTATAGCAGCAAGCCTCGATACTCCTTGATTGCCTACTGCTTTGCTCCCAGGCCACTACATCGATACAGCTTTCGGCCTGCAACTGCTGTCCCACACCCCACGCTTGCATGGTCTGCTGGCCTGGGCAGGAGCTGCTTTTGCTAACAGCGCAGTCATGTGGCTGCTGACCCAGCATACTCATGCTACAACCAGCCATGGCATTACCATCACTAAACTCCAACATCCACTACGGCATTTAGTGGCGCTAATCACTGCAATAGTGAGCGTAGCTTCAGTAGCAGAAGAAAGGACCATATTTACAGGAGGTCCTCTGGGACACTAGCACCGCTATTTGAAAAAGTGATAACATTTGAGTCAATGCTTATGATCCCTCGTCAACTTTAGAAAAGAATAGATTAATTTGAAGAGTATTTTTTTTCCCATATCCCTTTCACTTGTAACATGTTAAACAAGAACTATTATTTTTTTATCCTGACATACAAGCGAGCCAAAAGGCTTGTTTATTAGTACTTGCATATGTTTTCATCAGTGTTCAGTCAATAGCTAGACCCGCAAGAGAAAAATATGCAGATTTTGATGTTCATTTGTCTTGCATTGCAGATTGATACAAAAAACATTCTCTTCATCTGCGGTGGTGCTTTTGTGGACTTGGAGAAAACTATTTCGGAAAGGTTGTGGACAGTCTTTGTGTTTTATGTTTTGGACTTGTGATATCACAAGCTTTTAATAACCAAGGTTTGCCCTGTTTTTTTTTCTAGGAGACATGATTCTTCAATTGGTTTCCGAGCGCAGGTTCGTTCAAATATGCGATCTGGTGGTGTCATAAATGCTGAGATCACATCATCGCTACTGGAATCAGTGAGTAAAAATTAGAAAATGACTTCCATGTAGTATTCTCTGCTGGCCGTTGGCTCCTTTCCAAATAATATCGCTATTGTCTTCTGCTTTGCTTTCATGCTAGAGTCTTCATAGTTTTTTTTTTTTTTGTAATTATTTGGACGCTATTTCTGCAGGTTGAAAGTGGTGATCTCATTGCATATGGACTAATCCCAGAGTTTGTTGGTAGATTTCCAATTCTTGTTAGTCTATCCTCCCTCAGTGAAGATCAGCTTGTTGAGGTAACTTTATCATTCATGCACACCTTTATCATTTGCATGTAACAGGCTCAGCTTCCATTTAGTGGTGTTCTTAAGATAGCCCCTATATTTTGTTTGTTGCCACTATTTCAGCGCATCTGCATTTTGTATTGGTTTTGCCCTTTACCCCATGCATATTTCAATTTAGTTATTTATGCAAAGTTGATCAGATGCATGGTTGAATCTATTCTTAGATTCGTACCAGATGTACCTGTTACGAATAAAGAGAGACTCAACTGAATCTATTATTAGATTACACTAATGCCCTTTGACTATTATACCTTAACAACCCCCTCTCAAATGCAACGTGAATGCAATATCATTGCATTTGAAGAGTGGGTGTTAAGGTATAATAGTCAAAGGGCATTAGTGTAATCTCCCTAGTCTAGGGTTTCCCCTATGTACTCTATATATTGTCCCCCTTTGGGCCTCAATAGTATCAATCCAGTTGAGTCTCTCTTTATTCATAACATGGTACCAAAGCTCTAGGTTTTCGATCTAACATTGCATTTGAAGAGTGGGTGTTAAGGTATAATAGTCAAAGGGCATTAGTGTAATCTCCCTAGTCTAGGGTTTCCCCTATGTACTCTATATATAGTCCCCCTTTGGGCCTCAATATCTATTAATCCAGTTTAGTCTCCCTTTATTCGTAACAGTACCATCATCCGGAACAGATTCCAGAATTGGCATGCACTATGCCAAGACCTTGGTGATTACAGGCTAGTGTTAGCAATTATACCAAAGATGACTACTGTACTGACAGGGGGCTCCTGTATGTTGTCCTAACGATTGCTTACTTGTTACTTTATTAGTTAGGGCTAGGTTGTCTTATTACCATGGAAAATATTGAGATCATCTGAAAAAAAAAATCTGTAAAATCACTATCCATTACGCACTATCATCTTTCAAGGCTTGCTTCTGCATATCATAAATTTTGCAAAATGCAAATGTTATCTTCATATATTTATTGAACACTCTTTGTTCCTAGGTACACAACTTATATTACCTTCAAAGCTAACACAGCTGTGCTCCTCTCTGTAGGTTCTCACAGAGCCAAAGAATGCCCTTGGCAGGCAGTATACCAAGTTGTTTGAAATGAATGATGTAAGAATTTGTTTGAAATTCTGTTGTCTTGAATTATGTAATATGCACCTTAATGCCCGTGTATTTATCTTACAACTTGATTTTTACTTAGGTCAAATTGCATTTTACGGAAGAGGCTTTACAGCTTATTGCCAAAAGAGCAATAGCGAAGAATACTGGGGCTCGTGGTTTGAGGTCCATATTAGAAAGTATATTGACAGAAGCTATGTATGAGGTATACACTCTTCTCCCACCGGCATCATTGTGAAATTCATTAATTGGGTTAGGAAAACCGTTTAGTAGGAGATTTGTTGCAGCACATTGGCAAACATGCAGTACTGATGTGATGAGTAGTAATAATTTTGTTCTTACTTTTTTGAAGTTTCTGTCTCTAAGATTGTACAATAAAAAGGGGGAAAAAGACTTAGAGCCTCTAATAGCATGTACATCCATATCCATTTGTGCCAAGAAGAAGCCACGGGAGAGAAATTAGTTAGCACCCGTGCTAAGAAATGTGAGCGACTAAGTATGGATGCTAATGCTAGAATGCATGGTATCAATGCTAAGGTTTGCTACTGGTGCTAAGGCTACTTTTTCTAACAAAACTAAACATTCTAAATCACCTGAGCAGCTATTAAGGGGTGCTAAAGTACACCTGAGCAGCTATTAAGGGGTGCTAAAGTAATAACGTAGATGTAACCAAGAGAGAGATGATGCTAGATAACTACCTTTTGCACCTAAATCAAGAGGTAAGTGGAAGTGCACATGGCCTCCTAGTGGGTTTGGTGACCTAATGACAAGTAATTTAGGAACTAACCATGTGAATGAAATCTTATGAACAACATAATAGAGCAAATGGTTGGCTATGGATGCTCAACGATTCCTCAAAATGAAAAGGATCACATGGAACTCAATGATGTGTTTATTTGTTTTATATTTTGAATTTGAGTTTAGGAAATGCCATACTGTAAAGAGCGATGTGATTCTAAACGACTTAGGGTAGAAACAGTGCTCAAAAGATCTAACATATCCTATGAGAGATACAAAGAGCACAACACATGCACTTCGGTCAATGTTTTAGATCTTATAGTGCTACTTCTGGCATGCCCGGAAGTTCTAGACTCCGGAAGTTTTGCTAGGGTTTGGAAGTTTGACGAATGTGGTGGGGAGTATAAATATCTCTCCCCATCTTCTCTAATGGCCAACCACTCCATTATTGCGACCTACCTTGTGACAAAAGCCCTCTTGAGCATTCACATCTTTGATTCTTTTGAGGGATTTGGTGAAAGATTGAGAGAAGAGAATGGAAAGTGGTAGAGAAACTCAAACCCATCATTTGAGCACATGTTGGATTCACATTTGTTAGTCTTGGGGCTTTGTCCTTAGACGGCTAGGCATTGCTAGTGAAGCTCTGGGAGGTTTATATTACCCTTGATTTCTAGTGGATTTATTGTGCTTGACCTCCGTGGTCGCTTGAGAGGAGGATTGGAGTTGAAAGAGACTCTAGACCTTTGTGGTCACCTCAACAACGAGGACATAGGCATGCCTTGGTGGTGTGGCCGAACCTTGGGATAAATTGTTGTCTCGTGTCCTTGTTGTTGTGGTTTCGTTTGGTTTGACCTTCCCCTTTCTCTCTTGCATTGATCTTTAATATTTCCAATCGATCTTTCTTAGTGACGTTTCATGTCAAGGGAAGGGTACAAAGGGGGTCTACCAGTCATAAGGATGTGGTAATTCGGCGATCTAGTTTCCGTTGAGATTTGGTGCTGGTTTCGTAGGTCTTTGGAACTTCCAGACAAATCTTCATAGAGTTCCGGACTTGGCTAATCCGCTACTTGATGTGTGAACGAATTTCCTTTCAGTGAGATGTACATGCTCTAACTGTGCTTATTGGATCATACAAATCCATAATTAAAAACAAACCTAAGTCCCTATTCAAGAAAATGAGCCTAAAGCTAACCAATGTGCGTAGCCATAGTACTGTTACCGTGGCAACTAAAATCCATTCTTGGTATGTCTCTTCATGTTTCTTGAAGCTAAATATTTTTAGGTCTGGGATACCCTAGTATCTATTCAAGTATTAACTGAACCTAAGGATTTGGATCCAAATTGCAGCAATCCAATTAGGCCTAGGCCTTCGTAGTGAACCAAAAACCATCAAATTGGCACCACATTTTTTTATTGTTAAAGGAAAATTGATGTTAGTTGTCTTGCCTTGAATTATATTCTTGGTGGATGATTTGTATCATTGTGATATTCAGTTAGCTTAGAATGCGTTTTGTCACAATATTCCATGAGTCATTTTTCCACTGTCCTGAATTAAAATTTTCTAACAGATTCCAGAGACGCAAACTGGAAAAGATAAAATAGATGCTGTGGTTGTTGACGAGGAGTCTGTTGGATCTGCAAATCAGCATGGAATTGGAGCTAAGATTCTTTGCGGAGAAAGAGCTTTGGATCTCTATCTGGCCAAGCACAGTAATAAAGAATCAACGGTACATATCATTTTCATTTTAATTTTCACATAAATCGACTGCATTGTATAGTTGAATCAAAATGTAGGGCTGGTCATCTTACCTATTGGCTGATTGACATGTAGTGTTTTACAGAGCAGTTACGAGATATGTTCATGTCATTGTTATTTTTTATGATGGGCTAGAGGCATGGTATTATTTTTCAAGCAGGGCATCTCCACAATCACTTAAAATATTAAGAAATACCCATGTCTATGTTTCGTTAGTCATAAAATTCCTTATGCATAGTGGTGTACGTGCAAATGTACAAAGTGGTCAATGTGCCTAACCTGAAGTGACCGGGCACTTGATGAAGGACACTTAACATAAATAAATTCACTTGCATTGATGAAAAAAAATATATTTAGGTTCTGGGACGTTGATATGCTGTTCTTACGCGGCTTGTTATTTTTGCAGGGTCAACACCAGGAGAGATCGAACGGGGAGTCTGAGATTGATACAGAAGCCCCCTCTCGAGTGGCCAGCATGTAGAGGGTTCCTAACAACAATAATTATGTATATAAATAACTGTCGGCCTTGTAACTGTATCCAATTCAAATGTAAAGTCGGGCCATATAAATTCATCATGTATAAGGCCGGCGCTGGGGTTGTATGTTGAATTTGGGGGGGACTGAAGCTTGATCTTGCAGACTTTACGTTCAAGGAAAGTAAAGGGGATAGCTTTGCATCTTTGGGCAAATCAAGGAGGGAGGGGAGGGTTAGACAAATTACCGAAATTCGTGAAATTTTGAACCCTGCGTCCGACTGCCTGGCTAGGGCAAAGATCGAAACAGCTCTAGTGGCTCCTGACAAAGCTGGCCCCATTGGTCGGTGGCGCAACCTAGCGGCCCCACCGAGCGACCCCATGGTCCTGCCACCACACGTGCCCAGCACACGAACAAAGTTCACGTCCCATGTAGACATCCGGCCCAACAAAGGACAAAGGACACGTCCAGTGGGATTTAAGCCCAATTCATCCACTTTGCAACCCTTTTTGGTAAAATAGTGCGATGGGCCGCTCCGGTGGCCTAAATCTGGTGCACATTGCTGTGCAATGTGTGGATCAACTTTCAAACTTGGCGACTCCCGTGCGAAGGCCGCCTGGCGGCCTGACCGTGAGCTGCGCTTGGGCCAATCTAGCAGGCCGCGGCCCAACTCCACACTAGAGGCCACATTGGGCACCTTCGGTGCCTGGCGGTCCGACCGCTAGAGAGATCGGTCCGACCGCCAGAACTCCTTCGGTAGCCCAACATGATCTTTTCTTCACCTTTTCAACTGTGCTAACTCTCAAGTGTTTTCACCAACTTGTGCACGTGATCTAGCATTTTTCAAAATATTTTTCAAGGCATTTTCTCATAATCCCATCACGTCACTAGGCTTAATGCATATGCAATGTTAATCCCACCTAGTAGCACTAGATAACCATGTTAACTCTGGAGCTCCCTTCTTAATAGTACAATTATCTATCCTAAACCTGATCACGCACTCTATTGCATCTTGATCGGCAAAACAGACACCCTAGCTTATACCTTTCCTTTCAATCCATAGGGTTTTGTTTTTCTCTTTCTTTGTTTTCAAATGTTGAGCATTTGATCATCTTGTGGCCTCCTCCATCATCACCTCCATGGATGCCATCTTGCTCAACCCTTGGTGTGGACATCACCTAGCTTAATCAACACTTAAGACAAAGGTTAGTCCACTAGTTGCCACTCAATTACCAAAACCAAATATAGGGCTTTCAGTTGTCTCCTACTGTCCTCATTCTCTCCCGTCTCCGACCATCCTCCGACGTTCCTCCTCCCGGTAGCTCTGTCTTCTACCTATTTTCTCCTATTTCCCTTCCCTATGTGAGGCCCTCATCTCTTATGTGCTCCTACCCTAGCTTTTGTTTGTCTTTTGTGATCTTTTACTTATAGCACATGGCTGCAACAAAAGCAAAGAGGGTTTACCTCACATGGATAGATGAGATGGACATTGCATTGTTGGTTGTCCTTGTTGAGCATCACAACAATGGTGATAATTCCCAAAATGGATGAAAGCCACATGTGTACAATGTTTCTATCAATAATGTATGTGACAAGTGTAATGTGGACATCACAAAGGAAAACATATCGACTAGGTGCAAAACTTCGACAAGCATTATGAGATCATTAGTAAGATACTTTCCTAGAGTGACTTTGGCTGGGATTGGGAAAATAGTAAGTTGTCAATTGATAGTGAGGATGTTTGGTCTAGATATGTGGATGTCAGTACATGTACATTTGGTTATTTATGTTCTACTTTTGTAATAAAACAAGATTATACTTTTGTAATAAAACAAGTCTTCTTGACTGTGAATGTGTGTCTTTTGTGCAGAGTAATAAGGCAACAACTTGTTACAAGAACAAAGTAGTGAAGAATTGGTGATGGTCTCGAGACAGTTGTTGAAAGTTCTTAAGATCCACCTAAACAACCAAGTGAACATCCCCAAATTTACCCCAAAAGAGGCAATAAGCTAGTGACGAAATTCTTTGCATGCTTGGAGATACGAAGACATCATTTCAGGATGCTCTAAAATCCATCGAGCAATTACCAATGCCTTAGGTTACTCACAAAATACCATATGTGAATAGATGTGACCTTTTTGCAGTCTTATGTTGAGCTTATCCTTAATAAACACTTATTCCAAGCACTTATGGAACTCCCTATGGACTTGAGAAAATAATAGATCCTAATGTTAAAATGAGAAGAATGGTTGTTGATGTTGTGTATACTTGTTACGTAATATAATATTATGAATCTTTTTACGCTAATTAGGTGGTCTACTATGGGTACTTGTAAGAGACTTGGAATGTTGATCAAGCATCGACTCTATAATGGATGCTTGTGATCAGCATTTATGAGATGTTCTAATCAGTATTTTTTACCATTTTATGATATTGCTGCAAGTTTGACTTTTTCTTTTTGAATATTTTCATGTTTTTGGGTGTAAACTGATATATAATCATTACAATACATGTGCAAGTTACAAAAAAATATATTTTCATGCATGTAAAATTAAACAATTTGGACATCCAACTAGGAATTGGAATTGTGGGCTTCCTTCTGATTTGAGCTATCAACTACTTGCACATAAAAACAATGATATTGGTATTCTAGGCCATTTCCATTTCCAGTCAGCTTTGGTATTCCAGACCAATCAATTCCTTCCTCTGAATATCCACATCCAATAGAGCACTATGTTTTTCTTTTCTCTTTGGTTTAGTTTAGTGTTTTTGTCATGCAATTAACGCACATAGACAGGAATATATGGGGTAAGGTGTCCCAATACGAGGTTTAGAGCGCATATGATGCACATGAGTAATTTTATTAATATTCCGATCTATATCCTAAAATATTATAATACTACAATCCTACCGAGTATCCTAAATTTTATAGTATCCTGATCCTACCTAAAGGCTCCACACGATCCTACATAAATTTCATAGTATTTTGAAACTACGATCCTATGATACCATGATATCAATTATAAACGAAATTTTAAATGATTCTATTATGATAAAATACTATTTAAAGTTATGAGGTGTTGAAATAATACAAAAAATTCTAGCCTTCAATCTATGCAACATATTACAAATCGTACATAAAATATATAATTTCCTTCAATCTATGCAACATATTACAAATCATACATAAAATATATATAATTTATAAAACTCGATAGTATCCCGATACTATCGTATAATTCGCTATTGTTTGGCAACAAAAAATATACTACTACCTAGGATCCTAATCCTGATAACCTTGCACACAAGTAGTAGCTTGACATGTACATTTCAACACAAGTGGCCAAGGGAGAGAGGTTGCACCAAAATGGCGAAAGAAGAGAGAAGGAATCCTAGAATCCTTCGCCTGCTGACATAAGTGAAATTTATAAGTCTCCGTATTTTTTTAGCTATTAACTAACAATATTTTCTCACAACAAATCATCAAGATCTTTCAGTAGTATCTTATCGTCAAATTCATTGAACATGACACTTGTATATAACCAAAACATTTGTCCTATGTACATGGTGCATAGCCACCTGGTCCACAGCCTGCTCGACAGACCGTAAATGATCGTGAATTATTTACTACTGACTGGTTTAGTATAAGAGAAAAATAATATTCTAATTTATAATCCACTGTATATGAGCCAGCAAACTGGCTGCCAGTCCACGACGGCACCGCAAATTCCTGAAACAGACATGTGCCCCGGCGGTTGTCCCCGGCGCCGGCCAGCCCACGCCCGCTGTCCTCCTGCGTCCACCGGGCGACAGGTACAAATTTGAACGTGCGCCGCAGCACACCACACCACACCGCAGCAGGCTGCGGCAGCCCGTCATAAAACCCACCCGAAAAAGGCACCACGCCCACGCCGTGCTGGGTACCCGACCCCACCGCATCAGAGCACAATCAAGTGCCCCCACCACCACCCGCCGCAACCGCCGACCCCACACACATTCCACCCTCTCCCCAATTTCCTCCTCCCTTCACCATCATCCCCTCTGCTCCGCTCCGCTCCCCTTCCCCTCCTTCGCAGCCCGCGCCCGTGGAGTTCTTCGATCCAGTCCTCGGAGCCCGCAGCACCTCGTCCAACGATCCGGGCCCGCCGCGTGGAAGGGGAGAGAGAAAGAGCCGAATCTGAGCCTCGCCCCAAGTTGGGCACCCGTCAAGATTCCGCTCGATCTGCTGCGGGACATGGAGCTGGACAGCATCGAGTGCGTGTCCTACTCCGACGGCATGGAGGACGACGACGACACCGCCGCCGTCACATCGTCCCAGCTCCCTCGCCCCTTCCTCAAATCCTCCTCCACCGCCGGCACCGCCGCCGCCGCCGTCAACGTGGTCGTCGTCTCCGACCGCGCCGGTGCCGCCGGCCCGGTAGCGGGGGCGGGGCCGCTGGTGATATCGCCGGCCACGGGCGTGCACGAGCTGCTCGAGTGCCCCGTCTGCACCAACTCCATGTACCCGCCCATCCACCAGGTGCTGCGCCCCGCCCCGATTCCTTCCTTGCCTTCGTTTCAGGATCTTGGCATGTTAGCCCTGCCAGGGTTGCGTGATCTGCTCCTACTCCCAGTATAGGAGTAGGATCTTTGTTGCTTGTGCTCGGGGTTCTTGGTCATGGGGACACCTGGCCGCTTAATTCCCCGCAATCTTTCTGTCCCCAGGCATGCGTAATCGGTACATTTGATTGATATATGAAGGGAATAACTTTTGCTTCTTCAACTATCACAGATGCTTGGCCATGCGTCTTGCTCATGCTCTGCTTCCTGCGAACCGTGTAGCTAACTGTGTAATAATTGCAGTTTAGGTACACAGAAACATAAACTATGATTGTAATTGTCGCTTTGGCATATTGATGCTATCTATCTCAGTCTAGTTTCCTCCCATATTTGTTAGTAGTAAACTAGTAATGGATTGTGTGTAGCTGTTCCACCGAGGTCTGTAGTCTTCTGAGTGAAATCAGTGTG